CGCCAATGTGAGAACATGCTGCCGCGTCCAGAAGGGTGCCGCCTCCTCACGCGGCGGCGCGCGCCCGGGCGCAACCCGTTCGGCAATTCGTCCCGCGCCGAACCATAGAGCAAGGAAAACGACGAGATTGACCGTCAGCGACGTCCCGAAAGATAGGACGAACTGGTCAAATCCTGACATCGCGACTGTTAGCGTGTGCGCAAAGGTCAGCAGAGCCGCATAGAGGGCATAGAGCGCCAGCAGGCGGCAACCGACGAAGGCGAGATCTCTTGCGCTGATCATTTCAGAACATCACCCCAGAATGAAATTCAAAGCGGGTCGCTCGACTTAGAAGCGAAGGCCCCGAGCCTACGATATCCTGAGATCGACGGACAGTAGGCGCGCGGCTCGGCCGCCTGATGGCGAAGCGAAGATTGACGCGGATCAAGGCGTCCAAGGGGGCTGCGCGGTGAAATCGGCACCAACCAAGCCAATCCCCTGACACGAGGTTACGATGGTCGAGCAATCCCATACCGCCGGCTGGTGGCCGCGGCTCTACGAACCCTTCCAGACCCTCGGCCAGAAGGTGGCCGACTGGTTCGCCCCGCGCTCCGACGCGTCGACCCTGGAGGACGCCTACGAAATCAACGTCGAACTGCCCGGCGTCAATCCCGATGACGTCGACGTCTCGATCCACAACAACAGCCTGATCGTTCGCGGCGAGAAGCGCCATACGCGCCAGGAGAAGGGTCGCACCTTCTTCTTCTCCGAGCGCGAGTACGGCCTGTTCCAGCGCTCCTTCCGGCTGCCGCCGGATGCCGACGCCGACAGTATCGATGCCAGTTTCAGCGACGGCGTGCTCTGCCTCAAGATCGCCAAGCAGGAACCCTCCAAACCCGCCGGCAAGAAGATCGAGGTGCGCCGCAGCTAGCGACGCCGGCTAGAGGTCTTTCCGAACCACCGGGCGCGTCGCGGCGCGGCGCGCCACCTCGACGAAGCCCTCGTCGAGGAAGGCGGCAAGCGTGCCGGGAAAGAGATCGCCGGAGCCGGGCTTCCTGCGCGCCGCGCGGTCGACCGGGTAGGCCTCGACCGCCACGGCGCCCTGCCTGCGGGCATGCTCCACCGCCGCGCGGACCAGCCGGCGCAGCAGGCCCTGCCGCCGGTGTTTCTTGGCCACGATGAAACAGTTCACCGACCAGACGTCCTTGTCGTCGACGGCGGCGAAGCTGCGGGAGCGGTTCAGCCGGTCGAAGACCCGGCGCGGGGCCACCCCGCACCAGGCGGCCGGCGCGCCCTCCGCATAGGCGATCAGCCCCGGCGGCGGGCCGCGTTTCACCAGCTTGCGGAAGAACGCGCGGTTGCCGCTGTCCCAGCCGGCGCGGTAGTCCGCGTTCGAGCAGTACCAGTAGGCGCACCAGCAGCGGGAGGCATCGCCGCAGTCGTTGAACACCGCTTCGGCATCCTCCAGGCGTTGCGGCGTGAGCGGCTCGAAGGTCAGACGGTCGGGCATGAGGGCAGTCTGCGGCAAAGACAGCGGCGCGGCAATCGCCCCGGGCGGACCCGGTCCCCCTTTGAGGCCGCCGGCCCCTTTCGATAAGGTTCCCCTGAGCAACCTCGGGAGCCCTCATGGCGCGTGATTTCGAGTGGGACGATATCCGTGTCTTTCTCGCCGCCTGCCGGGCGGAATCGCTGACCGGCGCGGCGCGCAGGCTCAAGGTCAGCCAGCCGACGGCAGGCCGGCGCCTCAAGGCCCTGGAGGAGCGGCTGGGGGCGACGCTGTTCGAGCGGCTGCCGGACCGGCTGGTGCTGACGGAGGCCGGGCGCGCGCTGCTGCCCTTCGCCGAAGAAATGGAGCAGCAGAGCCTGGCGCTGTCCCAGGCGCTGGACGGGGCGACTCCGACGGCCGAAAAGGTGATCCGCGTCACCGCCATCGAATCCCTGGCGGTGTTCCTGGCCCGCGCGTTCGGCGAGGTGGAGGCGCGCTGCGCGCCCCATACCGTCGAGCTGATCGCCACCGGCGAGCGGCTGAACCTGGCGCGGCAGGAGGCCGACATCGCCTTCCGCATGAACGCGGTGCCGACGCGCGGCGATCTGATCTGCCGCAAGCTGGGCCGCCTCGCCTTTGCGCTCTATGCGCGGCGCGATCATGCGGAGGAACTGGCCGCGGACCCGGCGGCGCTTCAGCACGCAGATTTCGTCGGCTACCGGGAAAACCCGCGCAAGGCCTCACAGTCGCGCTGGCTGTTCGACTTCGGCAATGACGGCCGCTTTCCCCTGCGCGTCAGCGATCTCCAGCTGCGTTACGAAGCGGCGCGCAGCGGCCGGGGCGTCACCCTGCTGCCCTGCCACCTGGGCGATGCCGATCCGGAGCTGGCCCGCGTGGACGGACCCATCGCGGCACTGGAGGAAGACATCTACCTGCTGATGCACGAGAGCCGGAAGGGGCAGCCCGCGGTCCGCCAGGTGGCGGAGGCCCTGGCGGCGCTGATCCAGGCGCGGCAGGACGCGCTGACCGGCAGGGCGAACTGACCGGCACAGCGCCGCCCTGACGCGGACCTGAAAGGCGTCTGACGGGGGTCCCGACAAATCTGCATGCAGTCCCTGCGGACTTGGTGGGTTCCGCCGCGGCGGCGCAGCTTTAGCCTGTCGGGACCTGCCGTCCCCTGAGGGCGGGCCCAGCGGAGCGGAGCAGCGTCATGCCGGCAGAGCAGTTCCAAGAGGAGCACTTCCCCGAGAGACATTTCCGCGAGGGGCACTTTCGCCTCGTCCTTGCCTTCGCCGCCTTCGGCCACGCCTGGTTCCACGTTCTGGTCGCACTGTTCCTGACCCTGGTGCTGGTGCTGGAGCCGGCCTGGGAGCGCCCCTATGACGATCTGATCGGGCTGTGGACGGCGGGCGCTTTCCTGTTGGGGCTGGCCGCCCCGGCCGCCGGGTGGCTGAGCGACCGCTGGGGCGAAGCGCGGATGATGGCGGTCTATTTCCTGGGGATCGGCCTGGCGGCGATCCTCTGCGGGCTTTCGGGCAGCCCGCAGCAGCTTGCCGGCGCCCTCGCGCTCATGGGTCTGTTCGGGGCGATCTATCATCCGGTCGGGACCGCCTGGATCACCAAGCATGCACAGCGGCGGGGCCGCGCCCTCGCCCTGCTCGGCCTCGCCGGCAGCATTGGCGCCGCCATCGCCTCTCTCATCGCCGCACTGCTTGCCCTTGCGCTCGGCTGGCGCCTGGCCTTCATCCTGCCGGGCGCGGTCTCCGTGGCGGCGGGCCTTGCGCTTGCCGCCCTCGTCGCCGGGGGGCGCATTGTCGACACCGCCGACGACGCGGTCGCCGGAGGGGAGCCCGGCCGCCCGGAACGGCGCCGCGCCTTTGCCGTGCTGGCCGTCACCATGTCGCTGACGTCGGTGGTCTACGTGGCTTTCACGACCATGCTGCCAAAGTGGTTCGAGCGCGAACTGGGTGCGGGGTCCGGCGACGGCCAGCCGGGGAGCAGTCTGGTGGAGAACGGCATGCTGGGAGACGGTCTGCTGGAGGAAAGGCTTCTGGGCATCGGTGCGATGGTCACCCTGGTCTATCTGCTCGGCGCGACGGCTCAACTCTTCGGCGGCCACCTCGCCGACCGGGGCCTGGCCCGCCCGGTCTACATCGCAAGCTACGGCTTCAAGCTCGCCGTCCTGCTAGCCGCCGCCGCGCTCGGCGGCTGGCCGGTGGTGATCGCCGCCGCGGTGATCCTCTTTGCCTTCGACATCGCCGCCCCGGTGGAAAGCGTGCTGATCGCGGGCTTCACGGCGAGCCGCCGGCGCGGCCTTGCCTACGGTCTGCGCAACGGGATCGCCATTGCCGCCGGCCCGCTGGGCGTGCAGCTTGTCGCCTGGACCTTCGACGAGGCAGCCGGCTTCGCAACGCTCTTCCTGGCCCTTGCCGGGATCGTCGGTATCGTCCTGCTCTGCGCCGGCTTCCTGCCGCACAGCGCGGCGAGACAACACACGCCGAAGGAAGCCGCACGGACCATCTGAAGCGGGTCGCCGCGCCTAGTGCTCGAAGTAGGTGCTGGGCGGCACGCCGAGCGCGCGTTTGAACATCGTGGTGAAGCTGCTGGGCGTGCGGTAGCCGAGGTCGATCGCGACCGTCGTGATCGCCTCGCCCGCCGCCAGACGCTCCAGAGCCACCGCCAGACGCAGTTGCTGACGCCAGGCCCCGAAAGACATGCCGGTGTCCAGCAGGAAGCGGCGCGCCAGGGTCCGCTCGCTGAGGTGGACGGCTTCCGCCCAATGCCCGAGCGGACGGTTATCGGCAGGGTTGGCGCGCAGCGCCTGCATCACCTTGCGGACGCGGGCGTCCTCACCCTGCGGCAGGCGCAGCGGCGTGGCCGGCAGGGCGACCAACTGATCCAGCAGGACGGTCATCAGCCGGTGTTCGCGCCCATCGGGCGCATAGTCCCAAGGCAGGCGGGCGGCGGCATCGATCAACTCGCGGGTCAGCGGGTCGATCTGCATGACGGTGGTCTGCCCGGGCAGCTCGCGGCAGTGGTCGGGCGCGACGAAGAGGCCGCGGAACGCAACCTCCCGCGGATAGTCGACGGCATGGGGGGTTTCCGGCGGCAGCCAGACCGCCCGGTGCGGCGGCACGACAAAGAGTGCGTCGCGGGTCCGCACGGAGGCGCAGCCCCGCAGGGCATAGACCAACTGGCCGCGGCGATGACTGTGCCAGTCGAGGCTGCGTGGGCCGGGGTCGTCCCAATGCTCGCCCACAATGGGCGCAGCGGCCCTGTCAGCCGGGTGATCGGCCAAGTGATCGGCGAAGTGATCGGCAAAGTGATCGGCCGGGCCGTCGTCCGAACCGTCGCGCATGGCTGATCTTCCCAAAACATTGACCGGTTCTCGAAAGCCAGATGGGGGCCCCGCCCCCAGATTCAAGCGCAACGACGCGGCGGGCAGAGCGAATCGCCGGCAGGACCCCTGAGCCGCCGGGGTTGGACAGATGGGATTGGAGAGAACGGAATGACGGAACCCGGACACAGGCGGTGGATGTCCGCCGGCACCGCCGCGCTGGCGGTCTGGCTGGGGGCCGCTGCCCCCGTCGGCGCACAGACAATCACCGCCCAGACAATCATCGCCCAGACACCAAGCGGCGATCCCTCCGCCGGCGAGCGGGTCTTCCGGCAGTGCGCCGCCTGCCACACGGTCGAGCCCGACCGCCACCGGGCCGGGCCCTCGCTCTACGGCATCTTCGGCCAGAGCGCCGGGGCGGTGGAGGGCTTTCGCTACTCCCGCGCCATGCAGGAGGCCGAGATCGTCTGGGACGAAGAGACCCTGACCGCCTATCTGACCGATCCGAACGGCTTCCTGCCCGGCACCACCATGCGGATCGCCTTGCGCAATGCCGAGGATGCGCCCGATCTCATCGCCTATCTGCGAACACTGGGAGCCAATTAGGCACCCTTTCGCAAGCACACCCACGAACCCGGGAGACCACCATGATCGACCTCACTGTCAATGCGCGCGCCGTACAGGTCGATGCGCCCGAGGACACCGCGCTGCTGTGGGTCCTGCGCGAACACCTGGGCCTCACGGGCACCAAGTTCGGCTGTGGCGCCGGCATGTGCGGGGCCTGCACCGTCCACGTCGACGGCGTCCCCACCTTCGCCTGCCTGACCGCCGTGGGCGATGTCGCCGGTGCGGCGGTGACGACGATTGAAGGCTTGGGCGAAGGCCCGGGCGAGGGCCCGGAGGGTGAGGCGGATCACCCCCTGAAGCGGGCCTGGGTGGCTGAACAGGTGCCCCAGTGCGGCTATTGCCAATCCGGCCAGATCATGCGGGCGGCGGCCCTGCTGGAGGAGAACCCCGATCCCAGCCGGCAGGAGATCCTCCAGTCGATGAGCAGCAACCTCTGCCGCTGCGGCACCTACAACCGGATCGTCAAAGCGGTGCAGCGCGCCGCCAGGGAGGCTTGATATGCCCAGAGACAGCCATAAGGCCACAGCACAAAGCGATACCCCGTCGCTTTCCCGGCGCGGCTTTCTTGCCGGCACAGCCGCCCTCACCTTCATGATCGGCAGCGGCGGGCTGGTCTCCGTCGCGCGGGCAGACGCAGCAGCAGCAGACAAGACCCTGAAGCCCAGCGCCTGGCTGAGCATCGCCGGCGACGGGACCATCACCATCGTCTTTCCCTCAACGGAGATGGGCCAGGGCAGTTCCACCGCGCTGCCGCTGATCCTCGCGGAGGAACTCGACGCCGACTGGGACCGGGTGGTGATCGAGCAGCTGAGTCGTGACGACCGCAACTTCGGCAACCCGATTTTCGGCGGCGTGCTCTACACCGCCGGCAGCACGGGGGTCTACGGCTACTTCGATACGCTGCGCAAGGCCGGCGCCCAGGCGCGGCGCCTGCTGATGCAGATCGCGGCGGACAGTTGGTCGGTGCCGCTGGACAGCGTCGCCACCGAACCGGGCGCCGTGGTTCACAGCGCAAGCGGGCGGCGGCTGAGTTACGGAGAGATCGCCGCCCTAGACGCCCCCCTCCCCGCCGTCACCGAGGTCGGCGAAGACGATCTGAAACCACGCTCGGCCTACCGCCTGATCGGCCAGAACCTGCCGCGCCGCGACGTGCCGGCCAAGAGCGATGGCACGGAACGCTATGCCATCGACGTGCGCGTGCCCGGCATGGCCTACGCCACCGTGCTGCGCAGCCCGGTGGAAGGCGAAAGCCCCGTTCGAATCGACGACGCCGCCACACTGGGGGTTCCGGGCGTTCTGCAAACCGTGGAACTGCCGGACGGCGTGGCGGTGGTCGCCGAGCGCCTGGAAGCGGCCCTGGCCGGCAAGGACCTGCTGGACGTGACCTGGAGCGAGACCGCCCCGGCGCGCAGCTACGACAGCGCGACGGATCTGGCCGGTTATGCGGCGGCGGCCGGCGACAGTGCCCGCGAGGGCGTGACCTGGGCCGCCCAGGGCGATGCGGCGGCGGCCATTGCCGGCGCCGCGCGGGTGGTGGAGGCGAACTACCTTTCCGACTACGCCTACCACGCCCAGATGGAACCGATGGCGGCGGTGGCGGCGGTCGATGCCGACGGCAAGGGCGCCGAGGTCTGGGCCGGAACCCAGACCCAGAGCTGGACCATGCGCACCATCACCGAGATTCTCGACACCACGGCCGACCGCATCCGCCTGCACATGATGACCATGGGCGGCAGCTTCGGACGCCGTACGGCGCTGACGCAGGAATACCTGCGCGACGCCCTGCTGACCTCAAAGGCCACCGGCCGGCCGGTGAAGGTGGTCTGGAGCCGCGAGGACGACGTGAAGTTCGGCTGGTTCCGCCCTGCCGCCGCCCAGCGCCTGCGCGCCGGCCTGACAGCCGACGGCAGCCTCAGCGGCTGGCACCACCGCGTCGCGACGCCCTCGGTCATTGCCTACTTCAATCCGCTGCGCTGGGATCAGGTGGAACCGAAGGACATCATTTCGATGCGCGGTTCCGAGAACAAGTTCTACAGCATCGCCGATCTCCATGCCGAGCATGTTGTCACCGAGCGCGGTGCGCGGCTGGCGCCCTGGCGCGCCATCGGCGCCAGCTACACCAGCTTTGCCGCCGAAGCCTTCATGGACGAATTGGCGGCAGCGGCCGGCAGCGACCCGCTGGACTTCCGGCTCGGCCTTCTACAGGACAACCCGCGTGGCCGCGAGCTGCTGCAGCGCGTTGCCGGAAAGGCCGGCTGGGGCGCGCCAGAGACGAGGGGCGGCGAGACCGCACTCGGCCTCGCCTTTGCCGGCTATGGCGATTCCATGGCGGCCGGCATCGCCGAAGTGGCTCTTGACCGGAACAGCGGACGGCTTGCCGTCACCCGTTTCTGGGCGGCGGTGGACGCCGGTCTGATCGTGGCGCCGGACAACGCCCTGGCGCAGATCGAAGGCGGAATCATTTTCGGGCTCAGCAGTGCCCTGAAAGAGAGCATCACCATCGCCGGCGGCGAGGTGGTGCAGAGCAATTACTACGACTACGAGATCCTGCGCGCCGACGAGGTGCCGGAGATCGACATCCAGCTCCAGGTCAGCGACGGACCGCCGACGGGCATTGGCGAGGTCGGCACACCAATGGTCGCCGCCGCCGTTGCCAACGCCTTTCACGGGCTCACCGGGCGGCGCTTGCGCCACCTGCCCTTTACCCCGGAGCGGGTGCTGGAGGCGCTGGCCTGAAGGTGCTGGAAAAAGACTGATCGAAACGGTCAGCTGCCGTCGGTCGGGGCCTCGCGGGTCGCTTCGACGCCGACCGGGGCGCCGACGACGACCACCGTCAGGTCATCGGGCCGATAAACCCGCTTTGCCACCCGGCGGGCGTCCTCCAGGGTGACGGCTTCGATGAAGTCGTTGCGCCTGTCGAGATAATCGATGCCCAGGTCTTCCAGCTGCATGCCCACCAGCATGCCGGCGATGCGCCCGGAGCTGGAGAACCGCAGCGGGAAGGAGCCGGTGAGAAAGCGTTTGGCCGCCTCAAGCTCCGCCTCCGTCGGCCCTTCGCTCGCCATCCGCTGCCATTCCTGACGGATCAGATCCAGCGACTCGCCGACCCTCGCGTTCTGGGTCGCCACACCGCCGGCGACCAGGGCGCCGTGGTCGAGCGGGCTGAGATAGGAGTAGACGGAATAGGCGAGACCGCGCTTCTCACGCACCTCCTCAACGAGACGCGAGGCGAAACCGCCGCCGCCCAGAATATAGTTGACGACATAGGCCGCGTAGTAGTCCGGGTCGTCGCGCTTGATCCCGCCCTGCCCCAGGGAGACCACCGACTGGGGGATGTTTTTTTCGATCACCACCAGATCGCCTGCATTACCGATGTCGGCTTCCGGTACGGAGAACGGCTGGGCCGACAGGGGCAGCGGCAAAAAGGTGGAATCGAGCAGGGCTTCCAGTTCATCCGTGGTGATGTCGCCGACGACGCCGATGAACAGTTGATCGCGGGCGAAGCGGTCTTGCACGAAGCCGCGCAGGTCATCGGTGGTGATCGACCGGACGCTCGCCTCCGTGCCCCGCGTCGGCCGCGCATAGGGATGATCCTGGAACATCAGTTGCCTGAGCGTGCGGCTGGCGATGACATCCGGGTCTTCGGCCTCGCGGGAGAGCCGCGCCAGGATCTGGCTGCGGATCCGCTCCACCGGCTCCCTGTCGAAGCGCGGCGCCGTGATCGCCAGGCGCAGAAGCTCGAAGGCACGTTCGCGGTTCTCGGTGAGCGTGGTCAGCGAACCGTTGAAGTTGTCCAACCCAGCATTGAACCGCAGACCGATGGAGAGATCGTCGAGCGTGCCCTGAAAGGTCTGGGAGTCGAGCGGCCCCGCCCCCTCGTCGATCAGACCCGACACCATGTGGGCCAGGCCTGGCTTGTCTTCAGGGTCGAGGGAGGCGCCGCCGCGAAACACGAGTTCCACCGCGATGATCGGATTGCTGTGGTCCTCGACCAGCCAGGCCTCGATCCCGCCGGGGCTGACGACGCGCTGAACCTCCACGGCCCGAGCCTGAAAGGCCGCGAAGAGGGTCGCGAGGGCCAGGAGGCCGGCAACGGCCCCCGCAACCCAGGAGGGCCTGGCGGAAGACGCGGCCGGTGCCTGCGCGGCAGGCAGCGTTCTTTGATGGCCCCGCGCGTATCGATGGACCTGAGGTTCCGGATGTCTGTGCATGAGCTTCAGCCTCTTCAGGTGGTCGGCTTCGGCAGGAGATAGCCGGTAACCGATTGCTCTTCGCGGAAAACGCTTTCCAGCAGACCGTTCACGTCTTCGACGGTCACGGAATCGATGCGCTGCGGCCAGGCCTCGATGTCTTCCAGGCTGCTGCCGGTGGTCAGGGCGTTGCCGATGATCCGCGGCGCGGTGCTGAGATTGTCCCGCGCATAGACGGCGCCGGCGACCAGCCGCTTCTTTGCGGCCGTGACCTCGTCTTCGCCGATGCCGGTTTCGAGCAGCTTCGCGATCTCCGCGCGCAATGCCGCCTCGACCGCCGCGATGTCTCCGTCCGGCCGCGGCGAGGCATAAAAAGAAAAGGTCGCGTAGTCATAGGCCATCGGGTTATAGCCCGAACCGGCGGAGGCGGCGATGCCCTGATCCACCACCAGCCTGCTGTAAAGGCGGCTTGTGGCGCCGCCGCCCAGGATCTCGGAAAGCACCTGGAGGGCATAGGCCTCGGCGCCTTCGGCCTGCCGGTAGCTGGGCGCCAGATAGCTGATGGAGAGGCTCGGCTGGCGCACGCGCGGGCTGCGCAGCGTGACCTCGCGGGCACCGTTCTGCGGCGGCTCCGCAACGCGCTCACGCATCGGGATATCGCCGGCCGGAATGGGCCCGTAGTAGGTTTCCGCAAGGCGGCGCACCGCCTCCGGGTCGACGTCGCCGGCAACGATCAGTATGGCGTTGTTGGGGGCATACCAGCGCTCGTAGAAGCGCAGCGCCGCCTCGGTGTTCAGTTGCTCGATCTCGTGATCCCAACCAATGATGGGGATGCGGTAGGGGTGGTTGAGAAACTGGGTCGCACGAATCATCTCACCCAGCTGTCCGCGCGGTTCGTTGTCGATGCGGCTGCGCCGCTCCTCGCGCACCACCTCGCGCTCCGGCGTCACCACGTCGTCGGTCAGCACCAGGTTGGCCATGCGGTCGGCCTCGTGGCGCATCATGATCTCCAGGCGGTCGGCTGCGACGGTCTGGAAGTAGCCGGTGTAATCCCAGGATGTGAAGGCGTTTTCCCGTCCGCCGTTGGCGGCGATGATCTCGGAGAATTCGCCGGGCTCCAAGGACTCGGTCCCCTTGAACATAAGATGCTCAAGAAAATGGGCGAGGCCGGATTCGCCGGCCTGTTCGTCGGCGGCGCCAACCCGGTACCAGACCGAATGGTGGACGATGGGCGCCCGCTGGTTCACCACCACGACGACCTGCAGGCCGTTGTCCAGGGTGAAGCTGACCGGGTCGAAAACCTTGGCCTGCGCCGTCTGAAGCGGGCCGCCGATCTGGACAACGAGAGCCAGGACGCCGATGGCCAACAGCCGACGGGCGTCTTTCAAGACCTTCATGGGCGCAAATCCCTCATCTGGTGCCGAGGCCCGCGCGGGCCGTCATGGGCTTCTAGCCGTTATGGGCTTCTATATGGCCCGCAGCGGCAAGGCCGCAAGCAGCACCATGGCCAGCGGAGATGAACTTTCGGTCACAAAACCGTTCGGAAGGCCGCTGTCCCTGGCCCTGGTCCCGTCCTGACCCGGTGTTCCGGAAACCGCCGCGGCCCACCGCAAGACGGCATTCTCGGCGGCAGAGCCTAGAAAATGCCTTCCCTAGAAGATGCCCTCCAGGGGCGCCCGGCGGCGGCGCTCGATCTGCGGCGTCGGCCCTGTGGTCGGCGACTGGCCGAGGGCGGCATTCTCCTGCAGACGGCGCAATTCTGCCTGCGGATCGACGATGGTGCCGGCCGGCGCCTGGGCGTTCCAGAACACCAGCCGATCCACGAACCGCTCGGACTCTTCGTTAATCTGGTTGGTTTCGCGCTCAACGATAAGGCGAATGTTCGGCTCGGCGCTCTGCGCGCCGGCTGCATTCAGAAGCGACTGTTCGCCAAGAGAGCGGTTGGGGTTGATCGCCGTCTGGGTCACCACGGTCGGTTGCCCGGCCGAATTGCGCAAGACCGCCCGTTCGGCCTGCTGCGCCGACGTGCCTTCCTGCGGCCGCGGCGCCCCCGGCTCAGGCGGGCGCAACGAAAAGTCCGGCGGCACGGTCAGCGGCGCCCGGGACACCACGCGGAATTCGTCGGGAGACTGCTTGGTGAGGCCCAATTGCTCACGGAACCCCCCACAGGCGGCCAGCGCCAACATAAGACTGCCGGCAACAAGTAAACGGAAAGTCATCGCTCGATCCATCGTTGACTACCTCCCTATCCCCGGACCCCTATTTACTCTTCCTGCCCACTTCGAACAAGCCATCAACAACAATCAGTGCTGCACCGCACACAATTGCACTGTCCGCGATATTGAACGCCGGCCAGTGCCATCCGGCCAGGTGAAAGTCCAGAAAGTCGACCACCCCCGGCTGGTGCATACGATCGATGACATTGCCGATCGCACCACCGACCACCAGGCCGATCCCATAGGGCAGCAGCCCGACGGGCTGGCGTTTGACCCAGACCAGCAGGGCCGCCACCACCGCCAGGGCCAGGCCCGACAGCAGATAGGGGCCCCAGGGCGAGTCGTTCTGGAGCAGGCCGAAGCTGACCCCGGTGTTGTAGGTCAGCACCAGATTGAAGAACCCGGTCACCTCCACCACGCTGCCCCGCCCGGCCATGGTGGCCAGGATCACCGCCTTGGTGATCTGGTCCAGGACGAGAACGACCGCCGCGAGGCCAAGGGTCCGCTGCATGCGCGCCGTGAACCCCGCCGTCCGCTACTGCGCCGCGGCGCCGAGGTGCTGCACGGCATCGGCGCAGCGCCGGCATGTCCCGGGCGCCTCGGGGATGCTGCCCACCTCCGGCAGCACCTTCCAGCAGCGCTCGCACTTCTCGCCCTCGGCCAGACGCACAGTCACCGCAACGCCGGCAACCTCGTCCAGGCGAAAGGCCTCCGCCGGGCCTTCGCCCTCGGTCACGGTGATCGCCGAGGTGATGGCGATGTCCGCCATATCGACGTCGGCGACGGCGGCCAGCAGGTCCGGCCGGGCGACGAAGACTTCCGGGTGCCCCTGCAGGCTGGAGCCGAGACGCTTGTCCGCGCGCTCCAGCTCCAGGGCCCCGGTGATCACCCGGCGGACATCACGCACCTTCGACCACTTGGCGGCCAGGGCCTCGTCGAGCCAGCCTGCCGGCACCTCCGGGAAGGTGCGCAGGTGAACGCTGGCCTCAGGCCCCTTGCCGCGCGCCCACCAGGCCTCCTCGGCGGTGAAGCAGAGGATCGGCGCCAGCCAGGCCGTGAGACAGGAGAAAACCTCGTCCAGCACCGTGCGGCAGGCGCGCCGGCGCAGGGAATCCGGCCGGTCGCAATAGAGCACGTCCTTGCGGACGTCGAAGTAGAAGGCCGAAAGGTCGACGGCGCAGAAGGTGTAGACCGCCTGATAAAGGGCGTGGAAGTGAAAACCCTCGACATTGCGGCGCACCTGCCGGTCCAGTTCCGCCAGGCGATGCAGCACCCAGCGCTCCAGTTCCGGCATCTCCTCGGCGTCCAGGCGCTCGCTTTCCTGGAAGCCGTCGAGGTTGCCCAGCAGGAAGCGCAGTGTGTTGCGCAGCCGGCGGTAGGCGTCGCCCTGATACTTCAGGATCTCCGGCCCGAAGCGCAGGTCTTCCTCGTAGTTCGAGGCAACCACCCAGAGCCGAAGAATATCGGCGCCCTGGTTGTCCACCACATCCTGCGGGGAGAGCGCGTTGCCCTTCGACTTCGACATCTTTTCCTTGCCCTGCTCCTCCAGGATGAAGCCATGGGTCAGGACCGCCTCGTAGGGCGCGCGCCCGCGCGTGCCGGCGGATTCCAGCAGCGAGGTGTGGAACCAGCCGCGGTGCTGGTCGGAGCCTTCGAGATAGAGGTCCGCCGGCCACTTCAGTTCCGGCCGTGCCTCCAGGACAAAGCTGTGGGTGGAGCCTGAATCGAACCAGACCTCCACCACGTCTGTGATCTGCTCGTAGTCCTCGGCGTTGTACTCGTTACCGAGGAAGCGCTGCGGATCGCTGGAGAACCAGGCGTCGCCGCCCTCTTCCTCGAACGCGGTGGCGACTCTTTCGATCACTGCCGGGTCGCGCAGCGCCTCGCCGGTCTTCTTGTCGACGAAAATCGGCAGCGGCACGCCCCAGAGGCGCTGGCGCGAGATGCACCAGTCCGGACGCTGCTCGATCATCGAGCGCAGGCGGTTGCGCCCGGTCGCCGGCACGAAGCGCGTTTCATCGATCGCCTTCAGCGCCTTTTCCCGCAGTTCGTTGGTCTCCATGGAGATGAACCACTGCGGGGTGTTGCGGAAGATCAGCGGCGCCTTGGAGCGCCAGGAATGCGGATAGCTGTGCCGGAGCTTCCCCCGGTGCAGCAGCCGGCCTGCTTCCGCCAGGGCCGCGATGACCCGTCCATTGGCGTCGCCCGGCTTGCCGTTCTCGTCGTAGACCACCGCGCCGCCGACCAGGGCCACGTGGTCGTAGAAGGTGCCGGAGCCATCGACGGTCTGCGGAATTTCGATGCCGTGCTGCAGGCCGAGCGCCCAGTCGTCGGCGCCGTGCCCGGGCGCGATGTGGACGAAGCCGGTGCCCTGCTCGGTGGTGACGAAATCGCCGGCCAGCGCCGGGACGTCGAAGTCGTAGCCGCCGGCAGCGGGTGCAAAACCGCGCCAGGGATGGGCGCAGACCGCACCGGCCAGATCGTCGGCCGAGAGATCGCCGAGGTGTGTCCAGGCCTCGATCCTGGCATCGGCCTTGACGGTGTCCGCCAGGTCCTTGGCCAGCACCAGCTTCTCGCCGGCCGCGGCGTGGCTGCCCTCACCCGGGGTCTCGACCTGCCAGACGCCATAGGCGATCTCCTCGCCGAAGGCAACGGCCCGGTTGCCGGGGATGGTCCAGGGCGTGGTGGTCCAGATCAGGACGCTGGCACCCTCCAGCAGCGGCGCCTTGCTGCGCACCACCGGAAAGCGTACCCAGATCGTCTGGGAGACATGCTCGTGGTATTCGACCTCCGCATCGGCCAGGGCGGTGCGCTCCACCACCGACCAGAGCACCGGACGCGAGCCCTTGTAGATGCCGCCGTTCTGCAGGAACTTGCCGATCTCCCGGACGATCTGCGCTTCGGCGTCGAAAGACATGGTCAGATAGGGCCGCTCGAAGTCGCCCAGCACGCCAAGGCGCTGGAACTCCTCGGTCTGGACCTTCACCCACTTCTCAGCGAAGTCGCGGCATTCGCGGCGAAACTCCAGCGGCGGCACGCTGTCCTTGTCCTTGCCCGCGGTCCGGTACTGCTCCTCGATCTTCCATTCGATGGGCAGACCGTGGCAGTCCCAGCCGGGCACGTAATGCGCGTCCTTGCCGAGCATCTGGTGCGCGCGGTTGATGACGTCCTTCAGGATCTTGTTCAGCGCGTGGCCGATATGGAGATGGCCGTTTGCATAGGGCGGGCCGTCGTGAAGGATGAACTTCTCCCGGCCCTCTGACTGCTTGCGCTGCTGCTCGAAGAGGTCCATGTCCTGCCAGCGCGCCAGGGTCTGCGGCTCCTTCTTGGCCAGGCCCGCGCGCATCGGGAAGTCGGTCTTCGGCAAAAAGACTGTCGGTCGATAATCAACGCTCATCGCGTGCTTCTTCTTTGTCGGTTCCAGGCCCAGGCTGCAGGCGCCCCGTGTTTGCGGGCCGATCGGTCCGCGGCCCGCCCGTGGCGCCCGGCGCTTGGACGGCTCGGATCAGGAGGACCCGCGGTCAGTTCGGGCCGATCTGCCCCAGGACCGCGCGAGCCTGATCGCAATCGAGGGCGATTTGTGCCTTCAAAGCGTCAAGTCCGTCAAACTTCTTTTCCGGGCGCAGATAGTCGATCAAGCGCACCCGCAGGGTTTCGCCGTAGAGATCGGCATCGTGGTCGAAGAGGTGAACCTCCAGGCGCAGGTCCTCGCCCGCGACCGTGGGTCGCCGGCCGAGGTTGGCGACGGCAGGGATCCACCGGGTTTCCGCGCCGTGCTCCACCCCCGGATCGCGGCCGGCATAGACCGCATAGACGCCCAGGGCCGGGCAGAGGTAGTCCCCGAGCGCGAGGTTCGCGGTCGGAAAGCCGATGGTGCGGCCGCGCTGGTCGCCCTTCTCCACCCGCCCCTCGATCTCCCAGGGCCGGCCGAGGAGTTCGGCGGCTTGGCGCGGGGCGCCGTCACGCAGGTGCTGGCGGATGATCGAGGAGGAATAAACCGCCCCGCCGTGGGTCATAACCGGATCGACCGCCGTAACGCCGAAACCGAGCTTCGCGCCCATCGACTTCAGCAGCGCCACGTTGCCCTGGCGCTTGTGGCCGAAGCAGAAGTCCCAACCGACCACGACGTGCCGGGCGGCCAGATCGGCCACCAGCACCTGCTCGACGAAGGCCACGGCGGGCTGCAGCGAGAAAGCCCGGTCGAAGTGCAGCACGAAGAGGTGGTCCACCCCCTGCTCCTGCAGCGCATGGGCCTTGGACCGCAGGGAGGTCAGGCGGAAGGGGGGCTGGTCCGGCGCGAAGACCGAGCGCGGGTGCGGCTCGAAGGTGAGCACAGCCAGCGGGCAGGACAGCCGGGCTGCCAAGGCGCGGGCATCCGCCAGCAGGGTCTGATGGCCCTTGTGCACGCCATCGAAGTTGCCGATCACCACAACGCTGCCCCGGGCGTCGTCGGAAATCTCTGAGCTGTGTCGGAAGATCGCCATGAATTCGGCCGGTCTGACGCCTGTTGTCGAGGAAGCTGGTGGTGCCGGAAAGAGTGGTCGAAAGGCTCGAAAATCGAAGGGCCGGAAGTGGATGGGCCGAAATCGGATGGACGGTCTCGCCCTCAGGCGGTGCGAGCGGCAAGGCCGGGAACTAAACCGAAAACGGGGGTCAGTCCAGCCGATTCGCCGCCGCGGCGCGAAGATAGCCCGCCTATGCCTGCGTGAACAGGGCGCGAAGGCCCGCGCCAGCGAACGGCCGGCCCTGGTTGCCGGCCCTGGTTACTGGGGGCCCGGCCCTCAAAACGCTCAAGCCGGAGCGGAGGCCGGGGTTGCGGAGCAGTGGGTGGCGGAGCAGTGGGTGGCAGAGCGGTCCGGGTTAGCGCCCGTCTGAAAACGCCCGCCTGAGGGCGCCCCCCTACGAGCGCCGCTCTATTCCGCCGCTTCGGGTTCGGCGTCGGGCAGGTCCTTGCGGCTGGCCACCATCAAGGTCGCCTCGCCCTCCAGGACCACCGTCTCGCCGACCGTGCAGACGGTGTCGAAGATGACCCGCTTTCTCTCGGCCTGGATCTCCCGCACCGTGACCCGCGCTTCGACGGTATCGCCGACCTTGACCGGCGCCTTGAACCGCAGATCCTGGCGCAGATAGATGCAGCCGGGCCCGGGCAGACGGGTTCCGAATACCGTCGAGATGAAGCTCGCGGACAGCATGCCGTGGGCGATACGGCCGGAGAACATGGTCTGCTCGGCAAAGCTCTCGTCCAGGTGAACCGGATTGGTGTCACCGGAGATGCCGGCAAACATCGTAATATCGGCCTCGGTTACCGTCTTGGCGAACACCGCCGTCATCTTCGGCGACAGGTCTTCGATGAAGTAGCCATGCTTTTCGCGCATCAGACTCGAACCTCTGCCAATGAAACAATGTTTCTAAAACCGATTAATTTCGGCAATTTTGTTCTTTCCACTGTAGTGGAACAGGCTTCTTTTCGCAAGTGCGAATTCGCGGATGCGAAGGCGACCTAAGTATGACGGCAGTTGGTAAACTTCGCCTTATCGGCGCGCTTTTTCGGCGATGCGTCCCGCTGTTGCAGAACCGGCCCGCCGACTTTCCGGCGCCTGCCTCTCCAGCGTTTGCTTTAACGCCTGCGGGCGCGGCCGGTGGTCATGGCCGCGAGGTCGCGGTCGCGGTGATCGCGGTAGGCATCGAGCGTCAGCGTCGCCGTGGCCGCGTTCATGGAGGTGGTGACCGGCACGCTGGGCCCCTGCTCGGCCACCGGCACGGCCGCCCGCCGGACCATGCGATAGATGGCAAAAACGCCGATGGCCGCATGGACCAGACCGACGAAGGTGAAGAACCCGTCCGGCCCGACCCGGCCCATGAGCTGCGAGACGACCAGCGGGCCGAAGATGGCGCCGCTGCCGTTGACGAGCATCAGGCTGCCACTGGCGGCGACCATCTGCTTGGGCGTCAGATAGTCGTTGGTGTGGGCCAGGCAGAGCGAATACATGGGAAAGCTCATGCCGCCCAGAAGAAAGGCGACGGCATAGAGCCCGATCCGGTTGTCGCCGGAAAACAGAGGTGCCGCAAGCCCGACGAGCGCGGCTGAGAAGGTGACCGCGGCCAGAACGCGGCGGCGGTCCAGCTTGTCGGAGAGCCGCCCGATGGGCCATTGGAAGGCCATGCCGCCGAAAATCAGCATGCTCACGAAGAGGGCGATTTCCGAGACTTCCAGCCCTGCGAGACTGGCATAGACCGCGCCCATGCCGAAGATCGCGCCGTTGGCGACACCGGTGCCCAGCGATCCGACCACCCCCAGCGGTGATGCGCGGTAAAGCGCCCGGATGCCGACCGGGTTGGGTGCGGAGAAATCAGGCGCCGGCCCCACCGACACCGAAATCGGCACCAGGGCCAGGGAGACCAGGACCGAGGCCAGCACGAAGAGAACGAAGCTGTTGGGGTCGGAAAGGTTCAGCAGGAACTGCCCGCCGGCGATGCCGCCCAGGACCACCAGCATGTAGACCGACAGCATGGAGCCGCGGGTCTCGTTGGTCGAACGGTCGTTGAGCCAGGATTCGGCGACGATGTAGAGGCCGGCATAGCAGAACCCGGTGAGGACCCGCATGAGCATCCAGATCCAGGGGTCGACGAAGACCGCATGCACCAGCGCGGCCGTCGAGGCGGTCGAGGCGAGCGCGGCGAAGACGCGCACATGGCCCACGTTGCCGACGGCCCGGGGCGTAACGAGGGCGCCGGCCAGGAAACCGATGAAGTAGCCGGACATGACGAGACCCGTGGTCTCGGTGCCGAAATTCTCAGCCGAGGCGCGGATACCCAGCAGCGAGGCCTGCAGCCCGTTGCCCAGCATGATCATGCCGAGGCCGACGAAAAGCGCCCAGGCGGAGCGAACAGCAGCGAACATGGCCGATCCCGTCGTTTTCTTGCCGTCTTCGACGTGCACCCACTTTGTGCTTATGCCGCTCAGGACGGCCGGGCGCTATCGGAAATGCGGCAAAAGCCAGGCGCGAACGGGCGAAACGCCGGAACCGTCACCGCCGCGCGTCCCAAGCCGCGTCACAGGCCAAGCCGCGTCAAAGGCCAAGCCGCGTCAATGGGTCGCCAGGGCCTCTCGCAGCGCCGTCTGCTCGGCCGCGGAAAAGCCGACGACAAGGCGGTCGCCGGCGCGGATGACAGGCCGCTTGATCAGGGTGGGGTGAGCCAGCATCAGCCGCTTGGCGGCCACGGCATCCAGCCCCTCCTTCTCCGCCGGCGGCAGGCCCCGCCACGTCGTGCTGCGCCGGTTCAGCAGGCGTTCCCAGCCGAGCCGGGCGAGCCAGTCCTCGAGATCGGCAGCCGCGACGCCGTCGTCGCGCAGATCGTGCAGGTTCACCTCGTGGTCACCGGCCTCCAGCCAGGCCCTGGCCTTGCGGCAGCTGTCACAGTTTTTCAGCCCGTAGATCGTGATCATCGCGACCCTCCCATCCTGTCCACCTTGTTCACCTGTCCCCCAGTTCACCGGCGCCCGGCCTGCGCACGGCGCGCCGAAAACCCCGAAACCGACACCGGCGGCCCGACGGGCTCCACGCAGAGAGACCAGCGCCTCGAGGGCCGAGGTGCGAGGTCACAGCCATTCCCAGGTAGAACACCATCTCCGTGAGCACAAGGCCTGGCAGGGCCTGGCAGGGCCTGCCGGCCACCGCCATGCGTTGCAGAGCAGGGAACAGCGATCAACCAATTGACAGACGGCCTCTGTGCCGTTGGTCTAGGCAGATGACACGCGCCGCCGACAGTTCCCAAAATAAGGCAGATCCGCCGCTCGGCGGCGAAACCATCGTGCTGTTCGAGGATGACGACCTCGTCCGTCGGGCCACCCAGCGCATGCTGCAGCGTCTTGGCGCCCAGGTGGTCATCGGCAACACCAGCGCGGAGGCGGTAGAGCACCTCCGCGCGCAGGGGGCCGCCCCGACCTGGGTCATCGCGGACTATTGGTTCTCGCGGCTGGAAGACGGGCTGGTGGCCACCCAGGCCGTCCGCGACGCCGTGGGCGGGGAGATCAAAGGCCTCATCATCACAGGCGACAGTTCGGTCGAGGTCGCAAATGCGGTGCGGGCGGCCGGGCTCCACCTGCTGCGAAAGCCAGTGAACACGGATCGCATCATCGCGATCCTGGCGGAGAACGCTTAGACAAAGCGTCATGAGCGTGAGGATATAGCCAAGCAGAGCAGAACGATTATCTATTGGAAGTTGCATAGAGAGCAGACCAGATGCGTGCGGTCTGCAAAGGGATGCCTTTCGGGACGCGGCCAGCACCGGCACAGGCGCGCCCGGGAAACCCAGAGACCCTAGACGATTTCCAGTTGATAACTCTGCGAAAATTCGGACAATGGGCCGCCAACAGCATTGTCGGATCGAAGCCCCCTGCCAAATCAGCGGGCCTTCGAAATTGGCATGCCATAACATTAAGTTGCGGACTGGGTAGGACCACGGACCGCGCAGTGGACCCGAACAAAAGGTCCATTCCGGTCTCTTACAAAGATCAATTCAGGATTCTCTAAATTATGAAAGTCCTCTATGCCGACGACCACTGGATCACGCGCAGCGCTGCCCGCCACCTGATTGATCGCTTGGAAAGCGGCAGCGAGCTTTTGGAGGCCGCCGACTTTCGCCAGGCGCTGGATATCGCATCGGCCAACCCGGATCTCGACCTGATCCTCCTGGATCTGCTGATGCCGGGCATGAAGCGCTTCGAAGGACTGCGCGCAATGCGGGAATGTTTGCCGCAGGTGCCTGTGGTCGTGATGTCGGCCATCGAAGACCGTGACGAGATCCTGCGCTGCATCGAGGCCGGCGCGATGGGGTACATCCCCAAGTCTTCCCAGAGCGACGAGGTGGAATCGGCGCTGCAGACCGTTCTCGCCGGCGGCGTCGCCTTCCCGCGGCGCCTGCTCGAGCAGCGCAGTTCCGCCAAAAAGCAGGCGGTCTATGCCTTCGGCAACGAGAAGTCGATCGAGGACGTTTCCGGCGCTCTGACCAAGCGGCAGTTTCAGGTCTACAAGCTGCTCGGCCAGGGCATGTCCAATGCCCAGGTGGCCGAGGCGCTCGGCCTTTCCGAACACACCGTGCGCGTTCATGTGTCGGCCATCGTCAAACGGCTGAACCTGGACAGCCGGACCCAGGCCGCCATCAGCGCCGCGGCCCAGGCCCGCGCGCTGGAAGACGAAGCGGAAGCCGCGAACTACTGAGCCCGGCCCCAAAGGCCCGGATTAAAGGCCTCACGCAGAAGCTCTGACGGGTGCGACCGGGCCGCGTTCGCCGGCACGGGAGCCTGTAAGGCTGGCCGCGGGCCGCAGCGATCACCAGAAAACGAAGCCTCTTCGCCCGTCGGCGCCGGAACCCGCCGGGCTTTGCGCCGCAACGGCTTCACCCGGATGGCCAGCCGCCTCCGGCCACTGCATCAGCCCCGGCTCTGTTCCAGGGCAAAGAGGCAAAGCGCCCTCAACTGCGCCGGCTTGACCGGCCGGTAAAGGACGTGAACCGGGCCCGGCAGGACCGCGGCGCTCTCGCTCTTGCCCCGGTCGCTCAGCAGGACGACGGCCGGCCGGCCGCCCTGCCTCTCCCGAGCGGCGGCCAGCAGATCCCGCCCGGCCATGGCGTCGAACCCGGCCATATCGGCGACCAGAAGAGCCGGCGGGTGCTCCAGGACCTCCGCAAGCTTGTCAGCGGCATTGGCGCTTATGCGCGGGCGGGCGCCCCAGCGCTGCAGATGGTCCTGAATCACTTCAGCATCCGGGTTGTCAAAGACCACGATGTCGGCGTCTTCCAGCGGGTTGGGCGGCATGTCGAAAGCGGCCTCCGCGCCACCGCCGGGCGACCCGGCGTCGGGGGCCGCTTCCGGCGCCGCCGTCTTCAGCACCAGCGAGACGCGCGACCCGCGCCCCAGCGTCGACTCGACCTCGAGGCTGTCGCCGCAAAGCGTCGCGATGTGTCGGGCCAGGGCAAGGCCGATGCCGAGGCCGCGCTCCCGCGGGCGGACCTCGTTCTCAAGTCGAAAAAATGGTTGAAAGATCCGGGGCTTATCTTCCGCCGGAATGCCAAGACCGGAATCCACCACATCGATCCGCGCCCGGGCGCCCTGGCGCCGTACGCCCAGGATCACCTTGCCCTCGCGGGTGAATTTGACGGCGTTTTCCAGGATCGCGCGGAGAACGCGGCGCACCAAAGCCGGATCGCCATAGACGCTCGCGCTGCTGTTCACCACCCGGAAGGCAATGCCCTGAGCCGCAAATCGCTCGGCGAAGTCATCCTTGAGACCCGCCAGCACCTCATCGAGCGCAAGCGCCCGCGGCGCCGGGGTGACAGCCCCGCCGCCCAGCTTCTCAAGCTCCACCAGGGCGTCGAGCCAGCTGTTGCTGAGGCTGAGCGCAAAGCGCAGGTCCTGGAGGATGGCATCGCGCTCGCGGGCGGACTCGGTCTGCGCCAGTTCGCCGATCAACAGGCTGATCGCGTTGAGCGGCTGCCGCAGCTGGTGCTCCGCACCCAGCAGCAAACTCCGCTGTTGCCCTGACTGTCGCCCCGACTGCGCCTGATCCAATGCGGCTCTCCCAATTTGCGAATCCGGTTCCCGGTCTGCGTCAGAGCAGCATGAATTCCCAAACACCTGTCATCAATGCTAGATCTAAACGGCAGGTCCGGGCCTACGGCCTTGCGGGCACCCTCTTTGCACCAGCCGACATCAAGTCATGAAAATAGTCCAGATCGATGTTTACCAGGTCGACCTGCCGCTTCACGAGGGCCGCTACAGCTGGGCCGGCGGAAAGTCGGTCGACGTGTTTGACTCGACCGTTGTCCGGATCGCCTGCGACTCAGGGCTCGTCGGGCACGGCGAGGCCTGTCCGCTGGGCCCGGCCTATCTGCCCAGCTTTGCTGCGGGCGTACGCGCCGCCCTCGGCGCCCTGGCGCCCGATCTCCTGGGCTGCGACCCGCGCGCCGTGGACGCCATCGGCGCGCAGATGGATGCCTGCTTGAAGGGCCAGCCGGCGGCCAAGTCGGCCGTCGACATGGCGTGCTGGGATCTGCTGGGCCAGGCTGCGGAGCTGCCCGTTCACCTGCTGCTCGGCGGGCGCTTCGGGGAGAGCGTCGCGCTCTACCGGGCGATTTCCCAGGATACGCCACCCGCGATGGCCGAACGTATCAGGCAGTACCGCAGCGAAGGCTACCGGCGCTTTCAGCTGAAGGTCGGCGGCGAGCCGGACGAGGACATCGCGCGGATCGAGGCGGCGGCGGAGGTTCTGGAACCGGGCGACGTCCTGATCGCCGATGCGAACACGGGCTGGCTGCCGCACCAGGCGCGCCGCGTCGTCCGCGCCGTGCGGGCGCTGGACGTCTACATCGAGCAGCCCTGCCTCGGCTACGAGGAGTGCCTGACGGTGCGGCGCGCCTGCGACCACCCCTTCGTGCTGGATGAATCCATCACCGATGTCGAGAGCCTGCTGAGGGCCCAGCGCGACGGCGCCATGGACGCCATCAACATCAAGCTCGGCAAGGTGGGCGGCCTCAGCAGGGCGCGCCAGCTGCGCGACCTCTGCGTGCGCCTCGGGCTGGCCATGACCATCGAGGACAGCTGGGGCGGCGACATCGTGACCGCCGCCATCGCCGCGCTGGCGCAGTCCACCCCGGCGCGCTTTCGCTTCACGGCAACCGACTTCAACAGCTATGTCACCCGGCGCATTGCCGAGGGCGCGCCGCAGCGCCGCGACGGCCGTTTCACCGCCAGCAACGCGCCGGGCCTCGGCATCACGCCCCTGCCGGAGGCGCTGGGCGCGCCGGTCATGACCTTCGCCGTCTGAGATCTCATCCTGGCTGTTCGTGCCCGGGCCGCTCTCCCTATCGCCCTGCCTATCGCCCTGCCTATCGATAGGCAGGGCGGGCGAGGCCGTCAGACTCCGAAAGACCTCAGTGGAGATAGCGGATCAGGTAGCGGCTGCCCTTGACCACATGTCCGCGGCCATAGCCGTCGTAGCACATGACGCCGCCGATCAGCGCCTTGCGGCCGTGGCGAAAGCTGACCTTGCTGACGTCATGGCAGCCATGGCCGGCGTAGCGGCCGTGATGACGCCGGGGATGGTGATGCACATGCGGTCTGTAAGCGTGGGGGTGCCGTTTGAAGTGACGGTAGTTGTGGCGATGGCGCTTGGCCTGGTGGCGCTTGAAGTGGTGGCGCTTGAAGTGGCGGTGCTTCTTGAAATGGCGGTGCTTGAAGTGCCGGTGCTTTGAGGCGTGCGGCTTGAAGTGCCGATGCTTGAAGTGGTGATGGCTCCGGTGGTGCACGAGCTCGAGTCTCGCGTCGCCCGGCAGTGTCTGTGCGGCCGGGGCAGCGGCCAGCGTGCCGGCGGCCGATGCCGGGGCGGTGGCAAAGCCCCCCGCCAGCGCGAGCATGCCGGCAAACAGGGCGCCAAAACGGGACGGGCGGAACTTCGATTGAGCGGCAGCCATGGCAGCCTCCTTGCGTCAGGTCTCCCGCGCAGCGTTGTGCGCTCCTGCAGGGGTTCTTCCGCGCAAAACCCGCAAAAAGCCGGGCCTTGTGCCGGGTCCCTGCTTGATGAGCCTTACGCAGGCAGATGGCCGGCCCTCCCCGGGGCGGCCATAAAAGTCACATCACAAGACGGTGAGAAAAGAAGGGAGGGCGCTTGACGGGCGCGGCAATGCGGGAGCCTGCGTCCTCAGGCGGCGCCGCCCGGAACCGTAGGTGCGCGGGTCAGGTGGTCGCCGCCGTCCAGACCCAGCATCTGTCCGGTCATGGAGCGTGCCTCCAGCAGGAACTGCAGGGCGGCGCAGACCTCTTCCAGGCTGGGGCCGGCGTCGAGCGGCAGGCGGCTGCAGCGCTCGGCGAAGTCGGCGTCGGTCTGCCCCTCCACCGGCAGGGTCGGTCCCAGGCCGATCCCGTTCACGCGGATGCGCGGCGCCAGCGCCTGGGCCAGGGTCTGGGTCAGGGTCCAGAGCCCGGTCTTGGAGACGGTATAACTCAGGTAGCGCGGCGTCAGGTTGAGGACGCGGGTGTCGATCATGTTGATCACCAAGCCGGCCGCATCCTGCGGCAGCAGGGCCGCAAAGCGCTGGGTCAGCCCCAGGGGCGCGCGCAGATTGATGTCCTGATGGCGCTGCCAGGACTCGGCCCCTGCGCTGTCGGCGTCGTCGTACTCGAAGATCGAGGCGTTGTTCACCAGCAGGCCCAGCGGCCCGCAGGCTTCCGCGGCGCGCTCGACCAGCGGCGCCAGCGTCTGCGGATCGGCCAGGTCGGCCTGCAGCGCCGCGGCCTTGCCGCCGGCCGCCTCGATGGTCCGGCAGACCGCCTCGGCCTCAGCGGCGGAGTCCCGGTAATGGACGGCCACGGACCAGCCCCTGGCCCCCAGATGGGCGGCCAGCGCCGCGCCGACCCGCCGCGCCGCGCCGGTGACCAGGGCGGCGCGCGGCAACCGCGGATCTTCGAGCGTCTGCGGCGCGTCGGTCATCGACAGGTGCTGTGCATGGTGAACAAGGCTGAGAGGAAACGAGAGCGCGCGAGGGCGCAGGCCGCCCGCCGGGCCCTCACTTGCCGATGATGCCGAGGAACTCCTGGCGGGTCTTGGGGTCGTTGCGGAAGGCGCCCAGCATGCGGCTGGTCACCATGGAGGTTCCGGGCTTGTGGACGCCGCGGGTGGTCATGCACTGATGCGTGGCCTCGATCACCACCGCCACGCCGTGGGGCTGCAGCACCGCGTCGATGGTGTTGGCGATCTGGGCGGTCATCTTTTCCTGGATCTGCAGGCGCTTGGCGTAGACCTCCACGACCCGCGCCAGCTTGGAGATGCCGACCACCCGGCTGCGCGGAAAGTAGGCCACGTGGGCGACGCCGATGATCGGCGCCATGTGATGCTCGCAGTGGCTTTCGAAGCGGATGTCGCGCAGCAGCACCATCTCGTCGTAGCCGTCGGTCTCCTCGAAGGTGCGCTGGAGCATGTCGACGGGATCGACCAGATAACCGCCGAAAAACTCTTCGTAGGCGCGGACTACCCGCTCCGGCGTGCCGGCAAGGCCCTCGCGGGAGGGGTCGTCGCCGGCCCAGCGCAGGAGCGTGCGCACGGCCTCTTCGGCTTCCGCCCGGTCGGGCTTGCGCGCCGCGGCCTCTTTCCGCTCCAGCGCCAGTATGTTGCTGACGTTCTCTGCCTTGTCGTTCATTACGATCTCCAGGTTCCTTCGCACGCCATCAACTAGCCCGCCTTCGGACGATTCCAAGCCGCCTGCCCTTGGCGGGGGGCTTGGCGCAGCCTGGCCGTGCCCTCCGACAGGCGGCGACCCGGCCTGACAGGAGCGACCCCGGCCTGACAGGGGCCACCCTGGCGGTATCTCCGGCGCGCCCGGCCGCGACGCGCACCATAAACGCCTCCGTCAGCCCGTCAAAGGGCGGCGGGATATCGAAGGGCCGGAAAGGGCTGCCGAAAGCCGAGGGCCCCGGATCCAGGCAGGAGGCGGCCACAGTGGCGGGGTCAGGTCTTGCAAGAGGTCATTTGCCGCCGATGATTTGGTTTGGTGCCCCTGGCCTGACTCGAACAGGCACTCCCTTGCGGGAAACAGATTTTGAGTCTGTCGCGTCTACCAATTCCGCCACAGGGGCCCTCACCCATCGATGCCGCGCCCTGAGGTATCTGCGGGCGCCGCACAGCCGCAGCGCGTCGCCGGGCGGGCGGCATCATAGCGGGGTGATGCGCCTTGGCAACCGGTCTCCGGCGTTTTCCAGCGGACAGGTTTGACCTTTCCGCGGCCCAACCCCCTAGATGTTGTGGGAACCGGCGGCAACAGCGGCAGCCGCCGCTGCGCGCCACGGTTTTCTATGGAACTGGGTTTAGAGTCAGGCTTAAATAGTTTGAGCATGCGGTCGATTAAGCTTGTCAGTCTACGAAGTTTTCATGGACGCAATTGCTAGCCGTTGCGACCGCGTTGCTTGATGCGGCGTTCCAGGTAGGGGACCGGTTTGTGTAGTTCGGCGCTCGCGGGCCACCATGCGGCCACAAGCGCCAGGGGTGCAGTTACCAGTGGGGAAGTTTGATACGAGAGCGTGCGGGCCGGGCCCGCATGTGGGAACGGGAAGATACCTGGCATCGCGATCATGCATGACCGTGTCGGACGGCCTGCGCGGCCGCTTCGGCCGGTCGGGCGCCCGGGCGCATAACTTGCGGATCGTCCGATCGCATGGCCGTGCGATGGGAAACGGGCCGGCGCTGCAAGCTGTTCTCTTCGCAGACGACTTCCGGGCAGACGACTTCTGGACAGATGATTTCTGGGCAGATGGCTGCTGGGTGGCACCTGGGGAATCCCGGGCAGTATTGGAGTTGCCGTAGTGATGAATGATCGTGATTTCGAGTCTCAGGAGATCACCCACCGCGAAGTGACAGCCGTGGTCAAGTGGTTCAACGCGACCAAGGGCTTCGGGTTCGTGCAGTTGAACGACGGGTCGCCCGATGCCTTTCTCCACATCTCGGTGGTGGAACGCTCCGGCAACCGGGATTTCGCGGAAGGCACCACGATCGTCTGCGACCTCATGCAGGGCCGCAAAGGCTTGCAGGTGGCCGAGATTCATCGGGTCGAGTCCGCCCCGGCGCCCAGCTTCCAGGCCGATCCGGGGCCGACGGAAGTCATTGAAGGCACGGTGAAGTTCTTCAACGCCGAGAAAGGCTTCGGCTTCGTCATCCCCGACAACGGCGGCAAGGACGTCTTCGTTTCCGGGCGCACGCTGGAGCGTTTCGGGATCGGCGCGCTGGAACCCAATCAAAGGGTCCGCATGCAGACCCGCATGGGCCAGAAGGGCCCGATGGCCGAGCACGTCGAACTGATCTGATCACCGCCCGATTGATCGTCACTCCGCGATCATCGCCTTCAGATCATAACGCCCCTGATCTTCACCCTTTCGGCTTTCCGAAGCGCGCCGGCCCGCCGGGCCGCAGAGCGTGACAGCGGATCTTCGGCGGCGGGTCTCTGGCAGCGGCCCCCTACAGACGAGCGAAGGCAACCCGGCCCGCAGCCTTACTGGACGCTGCCGGGCTCTTCTTCCGGCAGCTCACCCGGCGGAGCGTTACAGGGGCCGGCCTGGTGGTGCACCATCTTCCAATCGCCGCCCTCGCGCACGAAGACATTGGTGGCCACCAGAAGGTTGGAGCCGATGAGCTCGTAGCAGGTCACGAACGCGCTGTCGCCGGCGCGATAGGCGCGCGCACCGCGGCAGGTGATGGCCGGCGCCTGGTCGTTGGAGAGGATGGCGGCCCAGCTCTGCATCACCTCATCGCGTCCGGCAATGGCGGGCCAGCCCGGATGAATGCAGGCCACCGACGCGCGCTCTGCCCACAGGCGGTTCATCGCCTCCAGATCGCGCATCTGAAAGGCGAAATAGAAGGTGTCGTTGGCGAACAGGACGTCGGCGTGTTCTTGCATGGACTCCAACCGCACCAGAGCGCAACGGCAGGCCGACCCGGCCGACCTTGCAGATGACGGCCCGATCTGAAAGCCCCCGTTCCGCCAACCGAAAATCAGGCTAGCACTTTCCCCAACCCCATGCGCGTGGTAACTCAGCCGCCGACACGGGTTGTTTCCAGGGTCTGTTCCAAGACGTGGTCCACCGCCACGGTCCCGGGCGCCCGGGGGCAGTGTTCGCCCGGGAACAGTGTTCTTGGTGGCGTTGAACTCTCGGCGGCGGCGAACTCTCGGCGGCGCTGATTTCTGGGCAGACGAGCGGGGCGACAGTGCTGCGGCGACTCTACGACTGGACTATGGATCTGGCCGGCCACCGCCATGCGCTGGCGGCCCTGGCGGTGGTTTCCTTCGCGGAATCCTCCTTCTTCCCGATCCCCCCCGATATTCTGATCATCCCGATGGTGTTGGCGGCCCGGCACCGGGCCTGGCTGATCGCCACGGTCTGCACCGTCGCCTCGGTCGCCGGCGGTCTGGCCGGCTATGCCATCGGCGCCCTGCTCTACGACACCCTGGGCCAGCCGATCGTTTCCTTCTACGGCTACGGCGCGCAGTACGAGCAGTTCCAGCAGGACTACGAGGCCTGGGGCGCCTGGATTGTCGCCGGGGCGGGATTCACGCCCTTCCCCTACAAGGTGATCACCATCACCTCGGGCGTCATGAACCTGGATATTCTGGTCTTCCTGATCGCTTCGACGATCTCCCGCGGGGCCCGCTTCTTCATCCTGGCCGCCTTGCTGTGGCAGTTCGGGCCGCCGATCCGCGGCTTCATCGAGCGCCACCTGCCGCTGCTGGCGACGCTGTTCTTCGTGCTGCTGTTCGCCGGCTTCGTCGCCATCCGCTACCTGTTCTAATCCGTATGCGCGCGCCGGGCCGGCGCGACACGGCGTCACCCCGCCTTGGCCTTCGCCGTTCCCGGCAGTAAGCTGCCCGGGCCGTGCAACCCCGCGCGTGTAACCTCGCGCCATGCAACAGTGACGGACCCTGGCCTATGACGACCCTCGGCGCTCCGCAAAGCGAAACTCCCTGGCTGTGGCCTGCCCTGCTGGCTGCGGCCTGCCTCGGCGCCCTGGGCACCGCCTTTGCCTCCCAGTACTGGGGCGGCCTCTATCCCTGCCCGCTCTGCGTCTACCAGCGCTACGCCTATGGCGCTGCCCTGGCGGTTGCACTGGGCGCGCTGGCCGTGGCCGGGCGGCCTGCCTGGCGGCGCGGCGCCCTGCTGGCCGCCGGTCTTGCCTTCCTTGGCGGCGCCGGGCTCGCCGGCTTTCACGTGGGCGTCGAGCAGCAATGGTGGGAAGGCCTGGCGGCCTGCGCGGGGCCCAGTCTGCCGGATAACGCCAGTATCGAAGAAATGCGCGCGCTGCTTCTCAACCAGCCCTTCGCGCCCTGCGACGCCGTGCCCTGGTCGCTGTTCGGCATCTCCATCGCCGGATACAATCTGATCGCGTCCGTGATCCTGGCCGCGCTTGCAGTGAGGGCCGGCCTCCACAGCGGGCGCCTAGCCAGGGACGAGGACCGTAGCGAAAGGTTCGCCCGATGAGCAAACAAGAGCAGAGCGCCGCCCGGTCGGCGGCACAGGCTCAACAAGAGACAGAGACCCGGCCAGAGACAGAAGCCCAGACGGAGGCGGACGCAGCGGAAGAACGGCCCGCACCGGCGCCGGGGACCTACCTACCCGGCGACCTGGACCGCGAAGCGCGGCTGGCGCGGATGCTGCGGGTCGACCACGCCGGCGAATACGGCGCAAGGCGCATCTACGAGGGCCAACTGGCGGTTCTCGGCCGCAGCGCCGCCGGCCCGACGATCCGCCACATGCATGAACAGGAACTCAAGCATCTGGAGACCTTCGAGCGGCTGATCGTCGAGAAGCGCGTGCGGCCGACGGCCCTGCAGCCGCTCTGGCATGTCGCCGGCTTCGCTCTGGGCGCCACCACGGCACTGCTGGGCGAGAAGGCGGCCATGGCCTGTACCGTGGCGGTCGAGGAGGTGATCGACGAGCACTACGCCCGCC